TGTGTGTGTGTGTGTGTGTGTGTGTGTGTGTGTGTGTGTGTGTGTGTCGCAATGCGAGGGAGTTTGTTTAAAGCCCAAGATGAGGAAATACAAAGCAAAAGTGCAGCTTCAGCAGGGATGTTTACATGCGAGCCGCAGCACTTCCTCTGCGTTCAGGTGTTGGTGCGGTTAGGAAACGTTGAACAGAACATATCTGCTGCAGTTGTGCAGCTTTACTGCAGAACCTCAGCGCTTCCGTACCTGTGTGTGTGCGCGCGTGTGTGTGTGCGTGTGTTCTTGTTTGCGTGCGTCGGCTTTTTGATCGGGTTCATGTTGAGCCTCGACACTTGGAGAGGAAAGGTGCCAGCACTGACGGCTGCTCTTCCACTTGGCCTTTTTGGACGCCCACACACGTTATGACACTTCAGCGTCACTTCCACAACACTATTTATAAATCCTTTGTGTCTTTTTAGGAACAGCGTGGGTTTGCTTTTCACCGGTGACTCACCGAGTGGAGGGAGGAGAGAGGGATGGAAAAGGCAAAAAACTGCAGATGGATTCCAGCATAAAGAAACAAATGAAGCAATCGATAACGTTTATTTTCATACATAAGGCGTGTAGTCGACAACTTAAAGGATCCTGTGTGTATACTAAAGTATTTAACAGGATCAAAATGTCCTAAAACTAATCCAGGTTATACTGAGGAAGAGGTCATGTGACGTTTAAATGTTGACAGATATAGAACTAAGCATTTCTCTGTTGTTTTGCTGCGGGTCTTTTGGTGAGAAAACTGAAAAACTTTTGAAACGACAGAGATCTACAAGCAAAAGTCCTGGAAACTGGTATTTATTTTTGCAACACACACACCATGAATCATCGCACCTAAAAATAAATCTTGAAACATAAATCATACGGATGACCTAATAAGTACATGTTTCATGTTAAAATGTTAGAATTATTTTATTTCAAATAATTCAAATTGTTTGGTGTCATGTTAACAGGCTCGGCATTAGTCTGGTTCTGGTTTGTCTGTTATGCCTCGTCCACACCAGTGATGATTTTAGCCTCCTTTTGGGGGGGGTGCTCAATCACTTTAACGCGGCCCCCCCTAAAAATTAAGAAACTATCATTCAGATTTTGTAAGGAAGCTCAGTTCTCAAATCTTAGATTCACCAAAATATTTAATAAATTTTAAATAAATATAGAATAAATGATGACGCTCTTAAACAGACCAGTAAAATCTATGACTTGTTTTGCACCAGTCGGATCCTCAACGCCACCTGTCAATCAATCCAGGACTCTTGTCAGCAACTGGCCAATCAGCGACCTGAATTTGTCCCGAAGTGAACGCCCCTTACCTGCAGGAGCTCCACCCCCTTTTCCTCCAACATCATTGTCGGGGTTTTGCATTACAAACACTTTACAGTCAGAGGTTAATAGTTAAATTAAAGGTCATTGCTTAAAGCTGGTTGTGCTTTGTGTGTTTTGTATGTAGATATATGTTGTAACTTGTGGTTGCAAAAGATCAGTCTTTGTTTGCTTAGATTCTTTAAAATCCTATTTTTGACTGAGCTCCTCGTTTACGGCCATACCACCCTGAACACGCCTGGTCTCAAAAGCTAACCAGGGTCAGGTCTGGTTAGTACTTGGATGGGAGATCACCTGGGAATACCAGGTGCCGTAACCTTTTGCCGCTTCTTCTCAAAAACCACACCATGGGGTAGTTGTTCAAGCCAAGAGCCATTGTCAGTTCTGGGGGCTAAGCACCCCTAAGGTCAGATCCTAGAATTGCTCCTAGTCCAGTCACTATTCCAGATATTTTTCAGAGCTGAAGGTTTGCGTCTCCCGTCCACACACAAACAGAATGTTTAGCAAGAAAAACAGATTTGAGCAACTCTGGAGTTCAACCTTCTTCAAGAGAAGAAAATTCTGTTTGACTAATTGTACTGTAATTTGGAGATGATTTCTGTTTTGACCAAATCTGCATATTTTTGTTTGTTTCAAATACATATTTATTTACAAATTAATAAATGCCTGTCTTTTGTTTCTCCTTTCTTGTTTTCTCCAGATCACTCAAGGATTCTGCTCATTTGAGGAAAAATATTAATTAGGTTTTTTCTATAAAATGTCAAACGTTAACAGACAACTCTGATGTTATCCATTAAAACTTCCCTTCTTCATCCTATTTTCGGCTCCAAGTCTGACTTTGCAGTCTCAATCAGAAATGGATGGACTATTCCTGCCTCTGTGAACTTGTTGGCAGACCTCAAAGGTTCAACTATCATGCTTGGAAGCTTTTGGACCTTGTAACCCTCCTCTACCTACCCCTATCAACTCCCCCCACTGAGCCCACTTTTGTCCCTCTTCTAAACCACAAAAATGGAGGCCCATGATTCTGCTACCACAGGTCAGAAATGCTCAAAAAAGGAAATAGTGAAGGAGAAAGCAACTCTGCAAAGAAAATGGGCGTCTGAGCCTACTGCAAACACCAAACAAAGCACTTTTGCTGACCAAGAGCTTAAACATCGTGAGAGTTTGCCTGGTGGTGCAACGGGAGGATCAGCGCCCCAGCAGAAGTACGCAATCACAGGGAATTCTGCTAAGCTGCTGCGTGGACCCTCTGCAGTTGGAGCCATAGGTGGTCCACCATCCCATGACTCTCAAGGACCCTTTGCACAGGCTTTTCCAAGGGGCTACTCCTTCCAGCTGGGTCAGCCCTACCCTCAACATCCTCAAACTGAGCGCTTTGTCTCAGGAGCCAAACCACAGCCTGGCCTAGAGGCTCATGCCTGGCCATTTGCTGGCCAATTACCTTCAGATGACCTGTACCCTGTAGGACATCCAGGCCATACTCATCCGCATGGGGCAGGGAGGTTTCCCCGACAAAAATCTCCTAGTTTACCAAGCTCGTTTGGACAGTATTCCCAACCAGGGTCTGAGCATGCAGAGGAGGGCTATGGAAAAAAAGAGCAAAAGCCAAAAAAGCCTGGCAAATATATCTGTCCCTACTGTCATAGAGCATGCGCCAAGCCCAGTGTCTTGAAGAAACACATCCGCTCGCATACTGGAGAAAGGCCATATCCTTGCATACCCTGTGGCTTCTCTTTCAAAACCAAAAGCAACCTTTACAAGCATCGCAAATCTCACGCTCATGCCATTAAAGCTGGGCTTGTACCTTTTTCATCAGAGCTGTCTGTGGCCCGATGTGGGGATGTGGACCATGCATCCTCAGTTGGAGAAGCAGAGGTGCCCTCAGATGGAGAACAAAGTACAGACACGGATGAAGAAGGTGTTGATGCCTCCACCATGTTGATGGATAAGAACAGCCCTATCCCGCAGATTTCATTTGAAGCTGACAAGAATGCAGGTAATTTATTTTTACAAACCAGACACGTTAGTATTTTTTATGTAAAAACTATGGTTTGAGAATAGCTTTTATTTATTGTACTCAAAACTAGGACAACAGAATTGTATCAGTCTTCAGCATTGTGCATTTAAGTCTTAATCTCTTTCATGATGTTGTGTTTTATTTTTATTTATTTTTTTGCTATAGGTGGTGCTGAGCCAGCATATGCAGATTCAGCTGAAGAACTCTCCATTGGATCTATGAAAGTGCCTATCCTCATTTTTCCCAAGACTGGGGGCATTCCTCCCACTGGGATGGAGTGCCCTCCATTTCATGACATAAAAGGGTCACATCACATGTTGGGGTCAAAGGCAGGCGGAAGAGCACGCTCACTGGATGACTCCCCCACTGTTAAACAACGTTTGGCCCTAAAACTGAATGACAAAGGGCTGGAATCTGATCCAGGCATGTCCCAGTCCCTTAACCTCCTCAGTCCTCATAGCAAAGGCAGCACGGACTCTGGCTACTTTTCTCCCTTCGACAGTGCCGAGCTCCAGATAAGCACTCCAAATACTAATGTCAAGACGTATGAAGAGATTATGTTTGGTCGGACTTGGTACAACCGACCCAATTCCAGGACAAGACAGCCTATCACAGTGGGCATGGCAGGGGCAGACCCTAGCAGTCTTGTAAGCTTAAAACAGTCAGGGGCTATCCCAGATATGGGGAAAACAGTTGAAGATCATGTCTCTCTTAGAGGAAATCAAGCAATCTGTGGAGATGCCAAGCAGTATCCAACTGGTCCCTGTCAAAGCAATACAGGACTTCTGGAGCCTCCATCAGATTCTGCAACTCTTATTAGGAGCAACTCCATGCCAAGTCCATCTCCTCCTAACCTTAGTGCTCCTCAAGGGATTCGAGGAAGTGTCTCCTTCGATAATATGGCAGCACCAGATGATGTGTTTTACCCACCCGGTCATCCCAGACTCAAAAGACAGACTGCATTTGAACAACCAGGTAATGAAGCCCACATAGGAGAGACTGAGGGTTATGGACACATGGTCAAGAACTTTACCTCGTCTCTGGGTATGAAGATCAGTGAGCGCAGCCCAGGAGTCCCAGAGCAAATTGCTTATAGCCCATACGGTACTAAAGTCAGCATGTCAGAAATAGCCACAAGAAAAAGGCGAAAAGAAAAGAGTGTAGGAGATGATGAAGACAGCCCTGGACATTGTGACAGTAGCTGTAGTGGTTCGGTTGAGATGATGGGGGACTATGAGTTTAAACAGGGAAGTTTTGATGGATCAAGAGGAACCCCTACAGGTAAAGGCTCTTTTCATAGTGCTCACAGCCAGTCTGACAGTTTTGATACCTGTGCCAGTATGTGCTCTGAGGACATGGCATTGTTTACTGATTCAGAGGGCAGGAAAGCAGCCAAGAATGCCATATCAGTTATCCTGCATACAGACTCTCTCAGGCGTCCAAATTCTTTTGAGAAATCAGAATCTTTTGAGCAGCCAGGAAACCAGCCCTCAAATAAAGCTCCAACTAGTCAGTACTCAGAACAGTCTGATACAGATATCTTTGAAGATGCTCTGAGTCCTGAATCTGCACTTCTTAAGACTGAAAGCATGGAGCAGCAGGTACAAAGTGACAGGGATCTGGCATCCCTTTCATCTTCTTCAGCTGCTCCTTCACCTGGCCAACCATACCCCAGTGCACACAGACTGGTCCGGCAATCCAACATACAAGTACCTGAGATTAGAGTGACAGAGGAGCCAGACAAGCCAGAGAAGGATACAGAAGCTCCAGTGACCAAAGAAGCAGAGAGGCAGCAGCAGCATGTTGAGGAGTTCCAACTTCCTCAGCGAAGTGACACTTTGTCTCAGATGCCAACAGAAAAGCTTCCACCTAAGAAGAAGCGGCTGCGCCTTGCAGATATGGAGCACTCATCTGGGGAATCAAGCTTTGAGTCTACCTGCACCAGCCTTTCCCGTAGTCCCAGTCAAGAGAGTAATCTATCCCACTCGTCCTCCCTTTCCATGTCCTTTGACCGAGAGGAGGGTCCCAAGTCTGTCTCACCAACCAAACAGGTACCCATATATGTCTATTTTTAGTTTTTGCATGACGACTACAATAATAAACCTACTTGAAAACAATTTAGCCTTGTTAATCTGTATTGCAAACGTCTTGTGGTAATAATCTTTTTTTATAGTGAGTAGCAAGATAGCGTCTTTGTAGATTAGATTTGTTGTATTATATCCAACAGATACTTGATCTAATTAGGATTTTGGAAGTTTGAGGTCCCCCACTGCCTTAAAAAATATGTTTTAATAATATTCTAATGCATGCTCTATAATCCAGATACAAGAACAATATTGTTGGATTCTTTGTTGAAACGTTACGTTTCAACAAAGAAGAATCCATCCAGAGGACCTGACTCAACCTTGTTAGTTTTAATAGTATTATTCTTGGTATTAACGAATGTTTAATGATGACGTTATGTGTCAAAATAAGACCCAAGTAAAAGTCAGCACCCAAGATTTTTCAAGTAGAGGTCTCTGGAGAAGGCAAATGGGACAGTTTTTTCCAAAATGTAAGAGATTACCTGGAATTGGTGGGTTGAATTCACAAAAAATGACTGGCTTTGTCCCAGTCAGATAGTATGTTCTAGTAAAAGTAGAAGTAGCTTACATTCCCAAAGGCTTAACAAGGTTATTAGCAAGCAGTGATTCTGGGGGTCTCCTTTTGTGGTCAGTGCACTTCTTTGGTTTCGGCAGAGACTTAGATTTTCTTGCAAAACATTTACAACAATGAGCTGATTAACATGTACATCATCTTCCATTGATTTTGTTCTTGTGGCTCATTTGTCTACCTTTGTAATCTCTATAACATTGCATGTTGCAAAGCAGAACTAGTAAAAACCGGACAGTTAAGTATATTTTTCTCTTTTGGGTTTCTTCTCTTTTTCAGGAGGACTCATTGACTTCTGGCTTTGGAGCGAAGCAGTCAGAGTTCCTGACTGTTCCCGGCAGTGGCTATTCCAGCCACCACCAGCAGAGGGAGATGAGGAGGTCTTCGTCAGAGCAGGCACCTTGCACGCTGCCCACAGAGCTACCTGAAATGCGCAGCAAATCTTTTGATTACGGAAGCTTGCCCTCTTCCAGACAGGGGGAGCTCTACAGCAGTGCATCTGCAATGAAGGAACGTCGGCGTGGATATCTTGTTCGACAGGTACCGTAAAAAGAATCGTATTTCATTCAGCCTTTATTTATATAGGTTAGTCTCACTGAGTCATGAGAATGATGATACCAAGAGAATACTTTGATTTTTAGATGATATATTGTTTTTTGGGGGGATTTATTTGGTTCACCATGTAATTGCTGTTCTACTGACAGTAAAGTTAGTAATTCCACGCTAAAGCAAGTGATTGTCTCTAAAAGACAAAGCTGAGCATCTTGAAAAACCTTGTAGATAATCCAGGTGATTGTTCCTTTACACGGCGACCTCAGTGTGAAACAGTTACTGTATAAAGGGTTTGTTTTAAGCTTAGTTTGAAAACATCAAATAAAGAAGCAGCTTTTTTTAAAAGTTTGTCATTTCTGACTAATCAGACAAAACCTTTTGGAAGTTGCCTTAAAGCCACATGAGCTAAAACAAAGTGACTCTGACAAAAGGTCACAAAAAGAAGTCCTACTGCAACAATCGCTGTGTGAGAAAAAAATTAAAACGTCTGAATATGTTTTTGTGGATCCCCAAAATAAAAACGTACAACCACAACTTGTAAATGGGGACACATTATTGACTTAAACTGAAACATATAGTTGTCAAAAGAAAGGTTTTCAGTTTGTCATTTTCTTTAACTATCTTTAGATTATGACCAATACATTTGAGGACAAAGGGGATCATTATCTTTTGTTGTTGTATCTCATTTATTTTTTGACTTACACGTTCTTATTCCATTATTTTCTACGCATTTGACAGGCTTCGCTGAGTGTTTATCCAGAGGCAGTCCTTCAGGAACCAGGCGGAGCAGAAATGTCAATCAAACAGGAGAGTTTTGATCATGGGACGTGGCCTAGCTCATCTGGATCTCCACACAGTAGCATCGACCAGCCCAACAGAACCAAGAGAGCTGGAGGTAAGACAGAATTATGTACCTCTAAGGTGTATCAGCCATGTGTTAACCATGCTGAAGTTTTATTACAACAGTACAATTCTCCTTCATTCAAAACTATGTATCAAAGAACCTTCTTTGGGGGCTTTTTCTGTCAAGTTTACAAGACAAGGTTGACAGTTTCTTAACTCATAGAGGTTTACTTTTTTAAATGCATTGTTTTCTGCACAGCTATAGGATCTCACCACCAGCACAGCCTCCAGCAGAGCATCAGTGAGGACAGTCTGCAAGATGAACCGTTCTATGGAAGGTGAGAAACATGGTTTGATCTACAAGATGGAGATGTAAAGAAAGCCGTATTTCTTACAGCTTTTGTAAATACTATTACAGTATTATTTCTACGTTTATTCCTAATACTATAATTTACTGTGAATTAGGTCCCATCAGCATCAACTCCAAGCTCAGAGCTCCTCATCTGAGGGAGAACATCCAGGCCATGATGGCACAAACAAGGATTTAATCCAGCAGTACCAGAGTGGCGCCCCATTCTTTTCCAACTCACAGCCGAGTCTCTTCTGGAACCATGAGTCCGAACAAGCAACTCGACAGCAGCAGACTCTCCAGGCTCAACAGCAACTCGTAAAGCTGCACATCCGATCACAAGGCAGCCTGCACAAACAGTCACTGCAGCAGCTCCACCACGACCCACTGCCGTACGATGGAAAATCCGAAAGCTCACAGATTTACACACCGTCTTTCTCATCTCGCACTTCGCCTTTGTCGCAACAACAGCAAAATGTAGGTGTGCTGTCCTCTAAGCCCTCCAGCTCAACAACCCCCTCTTTGTTTCTGCAACAGATTCAGCCGGTCTTTGCTACCCACAGTCTGGGCTCCCAGGCCTCTCTGCCTAGTTTACTGGTTCCTGTGAGGATGCAAACCAACATGCCATCATTTGGTAGTGCTATGTATACAAGTGTGAGCCAGCTGATAGGTTCCTATGGTGCAGGAGTACAAGCCTTAAGCCCTGACAGTACTGGTGCCAGCAGCATGTCTCCTCCACTTGGTGCTGCGAGCACTGGCAAGCCGTCTGGAAGAGTAGTGGGAGGCATAAGTGGAGCAGGTTTCAACTTGTCCCTCCTCCTTGGTCAAGTTGATGCTACAGCACTGCGCTACCCTCTGCCACCTGAGCAACACCTGAACACGGGTATCCCACTGTCACTTACATCAGGTACTATATCCATCACTGACGCCTCAGCATCTGGTATTGTAGCCAGCAAACGTATGCTCTCCCCTGCCAGCTCACTCGAGCGCTTCATAGAGACTAAACAGCAGAAAAGAGTGAAGGAAGAGAGGATGTATGGGCAGATCGTCAAGGAGATGAGTGCCGTTGAGCTGAGCGGCGCTGAACGCTGTTCCACATCTGAGAAGCAGCAAGGGAGAGGTAAGAGTAGGAAGAGTGAAGATTCAGTTGATGAGTCTGAAAGGATGTCGTCCTCTCCTCCACTAAATGGTATCCCCACCAAAATTGCCATTCCTGTCCGTTCCCCAGCCCCTCACCTTTCTGATGTACCCCGGGCTGAAAGCTTCACCCCACCTCTCCAAATCATCACAGATCATTCACTAGTTCCAGATGGACGAGAGTCCCCAGAGGAGCTCGATGTGGACAAATCGCCCCAAGAGTCCAGCTCCAGCCCGGAGCCCATGCTCTCCTGCAATGACGCAGACGACACCGACACGCAGCCCACATTAGTTAAACCCGCTACCATTCAAAGTGCAGGAAAACCAGGAGCTCGGACTCTGCTTCCTTCAAACGCGGCTGATGCTCCGCAATTTTTCCAGTTCCCGAGCCTGCGCACCACGAGCCACGTCAGCTGGTGCTTCCGAAACTATACCAAACCCAATAGCACTCCGTCTGCAACTCGTAGTTCCGTCTACAGCTCATGGTGCGTGAGCTCGTACAATCCCAATCCTCTGAGCCTCACTACAAAAGCTGCACTGGCTCTATTCAGGTCCAAACAGAGGAGAAACACTGATCTGATATACACGCTGGCAGCCATATCGTCACCCAGCTCTGGGAAGCTGGTTTCATCCGTGGCCTGGAAGCTGCGGTTTGATCAGGTATCTTAAAGAGTTTTTACACAGTCGTCAACCCAAAACACACCAAAGAGCTAAACCGCCTTTGACACAACTCGTTTCTGTTTTCTCTGTAGTTAAAGCCTGAGCTGATGCCAGTCGATATAAGTCATTTTGGGAGGAAGATGAAGGGAGTGGCATCATGGGACCGCTCAAAGGATGAGCAGGTAGAGAAGGAGGTGTCGGTCAAGCAGCCGTCCGCCGAACCGACTCGCATCAAGATCTTCGAAGGCGGGTGAGTCGAGCAGAGTCACACGTTACACCACGGGAGAAGGTTTTCTCACATTAACGTATTTTACTGCAGTTCTGAGAAATCAAAGCAACAGGTTTTAAGTTAAATTCAGTTTCTGCTGTGAAGGAATGATTATTCCCTGGCTTGTTTTATCTCAGACCCGTGGAGTAACGACACAACTCTGCAAACGAGCAAAGACAAGGACGAAACAAAAAGTGCACACATATTTACTACTCAACTAATTTAGATCTGTGCAAAACTTTCAGACTCTTTTCCAGTTTATTTTGCATGCAAACCTGCAGCTTCCCTCACCGAGTGTTCTTCATGGGTTTGACCTTTTGGTTCTGCACTCTTCCATACATGCTAGGTTCCCTGTTTATTTATTTATTTATTTATTTATTGGCATCTAGCTCGGTTACAGGACAATTTGTACTCCCACCAATATCATATTTGGCAACTTTGGCTACGTACTTTTTGAGCATGTAAAGGAGCCTTCTGCCACGTGCTTTTCACACAAAGATGAGCAGATTTTAACCGCTTTTATTGTCATTTTAATGTGTTAGAAAATGTAAACCTTCTGGACAAAAACGGCATTAACAGGGCACCACATGCTCATCACTGGGTCTGAAGTTGAGTACAATTTGGGGGAGGTATGGTTTGACCCATTAAGCCTTTAAATGAACCCTTGCTTTTTTTGTTTTTTTTTACTTATTAGCTAAATGACCTCTGACTGAACCTCCTTTTCTGTGGTGGTGATGTTCAAAATATAAATCAAGAGAGAAGTGGCCAAACAAACATCTTTAGAAGCAGATGTTTGAATGAGCCAGCTCATACCAACAAGCTAACGTAATATGCAAAAGATCTGAAGTGATGAAACAGCAGCTGGTGAGTGAAAAAGTGACTCGGCTCAGTTTTGTGTTGACCGTAAGCTTTAGAGGAAAAGAAATCTGCAGCTGCGTAAAACTTTAGAGCTCCTCTCATTTGAAGAAAACATCCAGAGCCTCAGACTCAAACTTCTGTCGTCTTTATTGGTCCCAACAGCTGAGTTTCCTGTAGAAATGAGCGCCGGTGACCATGATGTGAACTGTGAGGTCATCCATTTCTCTGTGATTAGTGTGAAAACACTCGAAGGTGTAAAGACTTCTCCTTTTCCATCCCTGAGCTTGATTCTTGTCTGAGATTGAGGCCAACGGCCCGAGTCTGGTGAACTCCTCAGCCTGATGACCCGAGCTGTGCTGCTGCATGAGTTTATAGACTGATCTGAGGTGGGATCCCTTTTCACGTGAACGTTCGTGAAGCGTTCACACTGTTGGGATCCTATCGCCACTTCTAAGTTCTTCCACACGTTTTCCAGCAGTTTTCATGTGTTTCAACAAACCATAGATAAAAATGTTCGGCTCTTTCAGGACAATCCGGCTCTGACTTTTGGTATCAGTGCAGCTTTAGCTTTTTGAAATATTTAGCCTTTTCTGCCATTTTTTCCTCATAGAAAATGAATTGAGCTCATTTTCCATCCTTCAAATCTTTAGATGTGTTTACAACCTTTTACTGCTCCTTTCATATTCTTTCTGCTAATTTCAGCTTATGTTCCTTTCAGATTATTTCTGCAAGTTTCAGCTTTTTCTACTATTTCAGCTACTATTTAGCTGTTTTTATGCTAATTTGAGCTTTTTCAGCTAATTCCACACTCTGCACTCATTTCCACTTTTTTCAGACTAATTCTGCAAAAATGTGCTCTCTCAAATTCCTTCTTATAATTTCAGCTTCTTTAGCTACTTTTCAGCTGTTTGATGCTAATTTCAGCTTTTTTCAGATAATTTCAACTTTTTAGTAGAAATTTTAGAGTTTAGAGTAGAGAGCTCTACAGTGAGGGACGTTTCTGCGAAGCTTTACAGTTTTATTGTTGCTGTTGAGAATGAAAGTTTAGTGTATGGAGCAGATGCAGATGAACAAAAGCAGGATTAAATATCCTCAAACACAAAGTTATAAAATGTGTTTTAAAATGCAGCAAACGATTAAAAGCATGTAAAACTGCAGATAACAAAACCCTCCGCACTCAAATTAAAACAAAGAGTGAAATCGTCTGTAAGAAAAGAAAAAGATTAATAATGTTTGAAATAAATATCGAGCTAATTTATTCCCAGCCCGTGAAAGTTTCCGATGTTCTGAAGCTGCGTGATGATCTTTCTGGGATTCTGTGAATAAAACAGAATAAAATCATCATAACTCAGGTTCCCACCGGCCACAGCTGTGTAAACGTCTCGGCTCAGACGAGCGGCGGAGGTATTTCCCAGCCCTCGCCGCAGTTGAAAGACAAATTTCCCCTCGCCTGTGCCGCGGGGCGTTTGATGTGCCTGGTATTTGACCGCCTTCATCACTCGAGGCCCTGAACTCATCGTTACCTCCAGCTGCTGCAGACAAGGCTGGAGACAACATAATGCACCAGCCGTTTCCCCTGTTTCTCCAAAAATCCTCTTCTTTGACACATAATTTAAAAAAAAAGTTGAATTAGATTCTGCTGCAGCAGAGGGACGAAACTTTAACCAGATCTTTTCTGGAGGTTGGTGGTAAATTCCCTCCCTGACAGACGTGATTCTGCAGGCAAACGTCCAACGACAGCAAACAAAAGTCTTGTCTGACGGTCAAAGTCTTACAGAAGAAGCAGAGCTGGCTGCAGGACGGTGACCGTCTTATTTTAAACTATATAAATAATAAACGGACTGTACTTGTACAGCTCCTTTCTATCTGATCAAGACACTCAAAGCTCTTTACAACAATCTGTGCCTCATTTACCCGTTCATCCAGCTCTATACTAGATCTCTACAGAGATTAATCAGAGCTTTATCACATTCAAACACCGATGGGATAAACATCAGAGGCAATGAGTGGTTCAGTGTCTTGCCCAGGGGCACTTCAACAGATGACTGCTGGTGGAATCGAACCCCCAACTCTCCCTTTGGAGGACGACTGCTCTAACCACTCAGCCACAGCCGCCCCAAAACTATCTAATGAAAACATTCTTGGCAAATGCTTTCACTCTCGTCCGTCTTGTGCCGTTCCAACAGTTTCATCTCTAGCGGCACAAAAGGAACGCCCCGGCCGACCCGCTCAGTCATGGCCCAGTTCAGGGGAGAACACCCAGAACCAGAGTCCTATTCCATTAATCCTAGCTGCGGTATTCAGGCGACCGGGCCTTCTTTGAACACTCATTTTGTCAAAGCAAACGCTTTGGACTCCAGCGGGACACTCGGCCAAGAGGCAGGGGGCGGGACGGACGGTGGCTCGCCTCGCGTCGGACCGCCGGCTCGATCCCAAGATCCAACTACGAGCTATGCTTAGCAAACAGGTTGATCATGTAGTTACACATGACTCTGCACGCTGCGTTGGAATTACTTTGAGTTTCATTAAACTCATTCCACCGGTTCCTGAGATTTTGCTAACAGATTAATGAACACACAATAAATGTGCATGATCACCCACGCTCGTGGCAGCAGGTGATAAAAAACTAAAACGATCAGAAAAAGATCAGAATCAGCTTTATTGTCGTTGCACTGAAGCGCAACAAAATTACATTTGAGTACAGCCCGTCTGAGTACAGACATGAGTAGACGGAGGTGTCTGAGGCTGCGGCCTCGTGGGAGGTGCTGCCCTTTTCGTTTAGATAAGGAAACACGAGGGAAGAGGAGGTGTTAAAAAAGTCACAAGTCCTAGATGGGACACTGTGAAAGTTGGGAAAAAAAACTCAGCATGAGGGAAAAGTGTCCGCCTTCGTCAAGAGCAAGCAGGAAAAAGCATGATGAGATGTGATGCGACTTGTGGTATGGCTGCTTTATTTGATAAGAAAATCACACTATATCACAATAAAAGTATCCTTTATCATGATATTATCATCGTTGAATCATTTTTTATCTGTTTTGATTCCAGGTGGAATTAGTTTTCTTGCTCTTTGCAGCTTTTTAGCCTTCAACCCATCAGCTGAAATCAGCTGCGTCGTGTCAGCAGCTGATGATCAAGTTCTTGTTTAAAACAAATATAAATATATTCATGTTTCTATCCACCTATATCCCTCATGCTGTCTTACATGAATTATGGGCACGACTTCTGGCACGGACCAGAACCGGTGTTTGTTTACGTTTGAACAGTACGAGCTAATGTAGTTTCTCTGAGCATTGTGGATTCAATTCAAACATGTAGGAGGAACACCACGTGTCAGAGCTCCAACAGGACAATATGATCATACCACTGCTGCTGAGGACGAGAGACGGAGGACGAGCTGAAGAAGTGGCTGCAGATTACAGCTACTAGCATATTTAGCTACTTATTCTAGCATATTTAGCTACATCTACAAGCATATTTAGCTACTTATTCTAGCATATTTAGCTACATCTACTAGCATATTTAGCTACATCTACAAGCATATTTAGCTACTTATTCTAGCATATTTAGCTACATCTACTAGAATATTTAGCTACATCTACTAGCATATTTAGCTACATCTACTAGCATATTTAGCTACATCTACTAGCATATTTAGCTACATCTACTAGCATATTTAGCTACTTCATTGACTGTATTTATTGATTAAGTTTATCTTCATCTGTAGGTAGGAGATGGAAACTAAAGCTCTTTAAACTGGAACTCTTTTTGTTTTGGCTCCATGTTCAAACTCTGTTGTTGTAGCCACTGATTTAGTTTGGTCTGGTTGTTCTGCAGCCCTGAACACAACAGGTACCTGAACTCAGCACGGCTATTTTAGTAAACTTTATGGTTGTTAAATAAATGTGAACCAAACAAAAACAGAGTTTTATCTGCTGAACTGAATGTAAATTACTTTCAAATAAACCACGGTACGTGCTCCTCTACCATGGTCAACCAATGCTTACTGCTACTTCCTGTCTGACAGGAAGTTGTACCCTGAATCATTTAGACAGTAGAGCCCCCAGGAATAAGGTGGATTAGAATATTGCAATAACCGTGCAGGTCTTGACCTTTGACCTCTCAGTGCTGCACAGGCAACAAAGGAAGGAGGCTCAGTGATAACCAGTAATATTCAAAACATGAGAGACGTCCTTTCTGTCACCTCTCTGGGTTTTACCTCGCTGTATGAAAACACACATTTAACACTGACTAGTTCGTTTTGAAACTTTCAGATGGTGAACGTGAAGTTTAGGAGATTTATATGAAACAACTGGATTTATTTCTTTGTGTTTGTTGAAAATGTTTTGCCGTTCATCCGAGGACGTTCCTCAGTTGAATCTAAGAAAGTTGTTTGTAAGAAAAACGCTCAGCTGCTTTCTGTAGAGCTCATCAGATCTTCTGGAAGACTGGGAATTAGCACCAGCAACTCTGAACGTGACTCATCTTTCATCTGTGAGCTCAGTTCAGTCTTCACGCCTGAGGACTGACGGGAGACTTTTACAACTGACACTTGTGACTTTAATTAAAATAATCACCTTTGATCTTATTTCACTGAAACGCTGACGCAGAAATGAAAGAGCGCCCGTCACACTGTCACTTCTTCTCTTTTGCAGGTACAAGTCCAACGAGGACTACGTTTACGTGCGCGGTCGCGGCCGAGGTAAATACATCTGCGAGGAGTGCGGGATCCGCTGCAAGAAGCCCAGCATGCTCAAGAAGCACATCCGAACGCACACCGACGTGCGGCCGTACGTCTGCAAGTTCTGCAACTTTGCATTCAAAACGAAAGGTACGGCTTCACGTTGTCCGCCTGCAGAGTTCACCGTTTTTATTGTAACATGAATAAAACCTGCTGTGGTCAGACAGGAACGCTCATCGTATCAGACGTTATGGAAGCTGATCGCCATCTTTAATCAAAATCTACAAAACTGTCTGCGATGTGTTTGGATCTGCGTTTACGTTCAGCGAACCCGAGCGAGTTCTGACCAGACCCGGTCATTTTCTTATTAAATTACTTGACGTATCGTGTGTAAATTGCACTTGTGGTCTCGCTCGTGTATCCTCCACCGCTGCCGTTTTCATTTCATCCTCTTTTGTCCTCCGGTGTCGGAGCAAGACGAGCTCTGGTTTCCAGTAAGGCCCGTCGGTGGGCCGTTAAGCTGTTCTCGTCTGTGTTCTGCAGGAAACCTGACGAAGCACATGAAGTCCAAGGCTCATATGAAAAAGTGTCTGGAGCTGGGAGTCTCCGTGTCCTCGGTTGAGGAAACAGAAGCAGACGAAGGAGGTAGGGAAAACGCACAACCAGGATCTGCGGTTCAATCCTGCAGAGATTATTCTCATGACATACTCTTCAGCCGTCACGTGTCAGAGAAATATGTAAATTATCTTCATAAATTATTAACAAACATCATATTTTCATCATCTGTCTCTGGCAGCTGCGTCAGTTTCAGAACAGATTAGCGTGATGGTGTTCAGGGTCTACTCGATAATGAAGCTGGAAATTAGTGAGATTATTTTTATTCCCTGTGCAGGCTTCATCACATATTTTATGGAGCCCAGTAAGTGCCAAGCATGGAAATAAAAAAAAAAACATAATTTGGGAAATCCACTTTTTCACTTAAATAGAATCCTGCGTTCAGATTTCTGTCGGCTTTCTAGTCGGGGCAGCCGTCTCATGTCGAGCTGCGTTTGGGACGAAGCGGGAAGGGGTGGATCTAAACTGGAACTAAAGGCGAGCAGCGTCGGCCGTGCAACGAAGGTTTACAACCGACCAACCAAATCATTTTATTGCAACTACCGTACGAAAACAGGCATTGTGTCAATTTGCAGCACCACATTTACTTTATCTCTTAAATTCGACACCTACATTTGAATAATGTAGACTTTGTTAACTGTTATTAATTCACATTATCTGTGTGTTGTTCTTTAAGACTTGACTGAACTCAAATAATGATTTAATTACTTCATCTATAATGGAGAGAAATACTCTTATTTAATAAATCCATATAGCTTTTTGGGGCCCAGGGCCGCGGCCCCCACTTTGGAAAACACTGCTTTAGACAGCTCTCTGATCGACTTGCTTATTTATTATAAAATGATGAGCTAATAGGAAGTCTGAGCAGAGCCAAGAGTAAAGTTGGTTGCTCTAATCTAAAAAAATAAAGTTTTTGCATTTCATGCCAAGACCTTTTTTATACAATATGATAATTTACATAGATTTGGCAATATAAAGGCATTAGCTGGTACAAAAAGCAGCAGCTGAAGCACTTGCTGAAGGAACTGAATCATACTTCTGCTGAAATAATCATGTCATTTTAAAGTGACAGCAGAGTAAATGTCTGTAAAACACGAACCTCCCCTGAGAATTGAGCTGTTTGATGAAGAATGTTTACTGCTCAAATTAGACATTGATCAAAATTAAACAGTTTCTTCAAACTGAGGTTGTTCACGGAGTTTTCCACAATAATTACAATGTTAGCTGTTCATAATAAATGCATTTAAAACGGTTACGTCATGGACCCGTATCCTGCAGCGTGAGCCTCAGCGGGACATGAGGGCTCTCCAGCACCGTGTCGTTTTGTTGAAAAGATTTTATCGATTGCGTTGAAAGTCCAGCTCACCAGATCCATGATAGTATTTTTCATTCGGAAGATGTTTACCAGGATCTCCGAGGCACAGACAGAGAGCAAAAAGCAGGAGGAAGAGGAGAACAGGGGAGGGAGAGGAAAATGCATCCGCCTTGAGCGAGAGCAAGTGCAGAAGAAAATCAGTTATTACCAACTCCCGAAGCAACCGTTGGAAATAATCTGAGACTTATTTAGCTCATTAATTTACCGTACGGTTCATTATAAGTTGCAGGAGTTGTGTGTTTAAAGTGGAGCAGCTCATGTTTTTCTGCTTTGTGCGGGATCTGCTGTTTTCTGACACCACAAACACACGTTTATGGTAAAATCTTGGGGGTTTTTTTTTGGTTGTTTTTATTTTTTTACCAGCAGCAACTAAATTGGTTAAAAGGCTGCCAACCAGTGTCTCTTACTGTGAACAGGTGTTGAACAAAACACTGAACTTGAAAGTTGCTGATGTACTGAATCAGTACGGGACCCATCATGAAGACCACCAAATGAAATTTAATTTTAGCTGACCCCTGCTGTGGGTTTTGGCTCCACGTTTAACGGGGACATGATTTTTTTTTTTTTTGGTCAGTGAGTCACTGAAACGTAAACATTGGCAGCTTTCACAAGAACTGATTTATTTAAGACACTAACTGGAAAAACAATCATGCGTTAGTGGATCTGCTTTTCTAAATACCATTGATTAACTCCAAGCTGCTAACTCAAATAAGTTTTACGGCTTTAGAATTTTAAAACGTTATCTGTGTTTTTGCGTATTTTCTGAGACCGATGAGTCGTTTTGCTCAGAAGAGACGAAGGAACGTAGAGTTCAGCCAATCAGCTGCTTTGTTTTTCACTAACTGCTGCTCCTTTACGACGAGAAGCTGCCAACGTTTGGCCGGAGTTCGTCTTGTGGAAGAACTGGAGTTGATGGATTTTTGTGTGTGCGTCCCATAAATTTTTATTGTTTTGTGTTTTATTGGTTTGAGCTGCTGAGAACGGGTTTTCAGTTTAATTTAACGTATAAACTGTTTCACCACACTTTTATAAACTTTTTTTCACTTTTTATTTTCCACCTCGCTCTTCGTCCTTCTCTGTTTTTTCCTGATCTTATTTTTATTTTAACATTTTCTTTGCTTCTCTTCTAAAGAAGACGACGGCCACAGATTGTCTGAGAAGATGTCCAGAGTCCCCTCGGCAGAGCACCAGTTCTCTGACGCCGACGAGTCGGAGGGCGGTGAGGATGACGAGATCGATGATGAAGACGACGAGGACGACGACTACGATGGTGACTCCACCCCTAAGACTCGTTCGCGCTCCACCAGCCCGCAGCCGTACAGCCTGCCCTCCCTGTCCATCACAGCCGTGGCCGCCTCCCACTCTGGTCCTCACCTGTCTCACCAAATGGCGTCTGACCTCCTGGGACACGCCAACAAACCACCCCTGTTTGGTTACTTCACCACCGTGCCCAGCATCCAGATCACCCCACAGGCTCCACCCACCGACCCCTTGGGGAGGGAGCACGGTCTTGTTGACTATCAGCTGGGTCCGGAGCGAAGCATGCTGCAGGTCCCATCCTCCTCTTCCATGGATGAAGAACTCCCCATCCCCTCCCCGGATCTGTCCTCCCCCTCCTCCCGCCTTTCCTCACCAGGGTTGGACCACTCCGGCTGCTCGTCCCCCATCTCCCCGTCATCGTCCCCCTCAGCTCGCCGTTACCTGTCACCCCGTGCAGGACACCTGTCACCCCAGCGGGACGTCTCACCTCTGCGTCACATCTCCCCCAAGAGGGACCTGGGATACCGTAGAGACCTCTCCCCAAGGCGGAGACACCTCTCTGTGCTGTCCCCCCTGTCCCAGCCCATGTCTCCAGGAGGCCGAGACTATAAGCGTGACCTTTCACCTCGAGGACGGCCCAGGGGGATAATCCGGGCCGTGTCTCCTCGCCGAGGGCTCCAGCAGCACCTCCACCAGCAGAGGTGAGGCTGCGCCCGTCACCGAAGGCTTGAAGCCTAAAACTTTCAGATTCTTCAAGGTTTTTGTTGAACGTGTGTCAGCCACAAAAAAACACACACTCTCCTAACCTGCATGAAGTTGGCCCCCCGCCTGCTTCAAATCTAATGAAATTGGTGTGAAACGTTTGTGCCGCTGTCATTATAAATACATTAATTAAAAAGTTTCCAGAGGTCATCAAAGGTCAACCAGCCCTCCCCATTTACACAATCAAAAAAACTGGTGTCGATAAACTCTACTACGTTTGTGTTTGCTTTGAACATATTACTGAAAGGTTAAAGGTCAACCAGCCCTCCCCATTTACACAATCAAAAAAAACTGGTGTCGATAAACTCTACTACATTTGTGTTTGCTTTGAACATATTACTGAAAGGTTAAAGGTCAACCAGCCCCTCCTGCCCACCCCTGACCCATCTTACCAAATGAAATGCACAGTTCCAACATGAACAGATTTTCGTTGACCTTTGATGACCTCTAGAAACGTTTTTATTAATATCTTTCAAATAATAGCAGCGCAAACGGAAATTTTTGCTGCACAAACGTTTGATCCCAATTTTGTTAGATTTGAGTCATGTGGGGGGGTGGGGCTGGTTGACCTTTTGACCTTTAAATTTCATTAATATCTTCAAAGCAAAAGCAGCACAAACAGAAATAGCCAAGTTGATTGACACCAATTTTGTTTGATTTAAGAAAGTGTGTGTGTGTGTGTGTGGGGGGGGGGGGGGGGGTACAGTTTCCTTAATCTGTGTAAAATTTTATTAATATCTTCAAAATGATAGCGGCACAAACGTTTGACCCCAATTTCGTTATATTTGAAGAAGGTGGGGGGGGGGCAACTTCACTCAGGTACTCTCCTTTTACCAAAACTATCACATAATCTGTATTAAATCAGCAGAGTCATGTTTTGTTGCCAACAATTATGATTTGTTTGTTTACAATCAAACATTAACGAGCACACTTTGGACAGTTGTGTCATTAAATTTCATCTGAATTTCACAATAAAAGACTGAACTTCCCTAGCCCCCTTAAACAGTAAAAACTAGTTCATCCTAACCAAACGTCAGCTGACTTCATCTTTCTGCACGTTTGTGCTTCAGCCAGCAGAGCGGAGCTCGAGGTTCGAGATCGGGTCATCAGACGGGGGTGTTGGACTTCACTCTGGGTCGATGCAGCGCCGGTGCAGAGATGAAAACGGTAATCTCCTGAACACAAGGTTCATCGTACAATGACGACGATACACAGCTCTCTCAATCTGACGGTGATTTATACTTTTGTTTTGTCTCCAGTCGGTCTTTAATTCTCTCCACATCTTCACCACACTGTCCCTGAGAGTGTGGTGAAGAGGTGGAGAAGAGAGTCCAGGCAGGATGGAGTGATGGAGAAAAGTTTCAGGAGTGATTTGTGACAAAAAGGTGTCAGCAAAGGTTAAAGGAAAAGTTTAAAGACAGTGGTGAGACCAGCTCTGTTGTATGGTCTGGAGACAGAGACATGGACAAAAAGACAGGAGACAGAACTGGAAGTGTCAGAAATGAAGATGTTGAGGTTCTTCTTAGGAGAGACAAGGATGGAGAAGATCAGGAATGAGATCATCAGAGGTACAGCACAGGTTGAACAACTGGGAGATAAAGTTAGAGAGGACACACTGAGATGGTTTGGACATGTCCAGAGGAGGGACAGTGGTTTGGACATGGCCAGAGGAGGGACAGTGGTTTGGACATGTCCAGAGGAGGGACAGTGGTTTGGACATGGCCAGAGGAGGGACAGTGGTTTGGACATGTCCAGAGGAGGGACAGTGGTTTGGACATATCCAGAGGAGGGACAGTGGTTTGAACATGTCCAGAGGAGGGACAGTGGTTTGGACATGTCCAGAGGAGGGGCAGTGGTTTGGACATGTCCACAGGAGGGGCAGTGGTTTGGACATGGCCAGAGGAGGGACAGTGGTTTGGACATGGCCAGGGGAGGGACAGTGGTTTGGACATGGCCAGAGGAGGGACAGTGGTTTGGACATGTCCAGAGGAGGGACAGTGGTTTGGACATGTCCACAGGAGGGGCAGTGGTTTGGACATGGCCAGAGGAGGGGCAGTGGTTTGGACATGGCCAGAGGAGGGACAGTGGTTTGGACATGGC